GCGGAGCCCCGGGCCTGGGGGGCGGTGGGCCCGGAAGGCCCCGGCAGCCGGCAAAAGGAGGGGGTACAGCCGTTTCTGGGGTGTCACCGGCGAAGCGGGAAAGGGGGGAACCCTTGCGCTGAGGAGCGCTGGCTGATAAAGACGGAGTTCAGTCGTGTGGGTGACAGAGGGTTCAGGCTGTATTTGTTCCTGAAAGTTTTTGCATACTTTTTGGTGCATGAAATTATTCGACGCTGTTTTCGTGCTATTCAGAGAGCGGTCAAGTAGATTTTGCTCTTTGATGGGGGTGGGTTAGGAAGATGCAGAGCACCCTGCCAGCTTAGCTGTTTCCTGCAGCGGCCTTGTTGGTGTTTTTCCCCTTGGAGATTTGCTACCAACAGCAGCAGTGAAGCAGGATGTGCAGCGCTCACTTGACAGACACCTCTCTTGTTTGCTGCAGGGACTGAGTGAATATAAAAGAAACTTCAAGTGGAAAACTCCAGAGTTTTCTAGCCCGTCCCAACAGCAGAAATCCTTGTGGGCAGGACTTCGGTCGGATCAGTTTGGTAAGCGCCTCTGAAAGCTGCCCCCTTGATTGTGACTCCTAGCGCTGTCCACGCTGGCTCTGGTGAGGATGAGCCTGGGCTGCAGGAGATCTGGAGAGGTTTGCTGTGAGTGAGTGCACGACCACAGTGAACTGGTAGTGTTTGCGGTTTGTACACTTGATACAGTTAAAACTATATTCTTGGTCATCATTTAGAATATGTTTTTGAATGCCATTTCCTTTCTGGCTACACTGAAACTTTCTATTAATGTTAGTGCTATTTACATAAAACATGAAAAATACGTGGTTTCTGACATGCAGTGTAAGCTGAGTCCCAAACATGAAGCACAGTGTTAACCCATGGTGTGTAGAAGGAGGCATTAGGTTATTTGTGGTGCATGGAATTAGTAAAATTCCGTATTTAAGAGGAGACTAATTTAGGGCAAAGGTTGATACAAAGTAAAATTTTTATGAAGACCTACAGGGGCATCTAACTAGGGAAAAAAAAAAAAGGAAAAGATGGGCATTAAGTGGAAAAAGCTTATGATGCTGTAGTCTAGGAGTTAGGGGTTGTAGACATTATCATGGCAGGAAAATGTGGGATTGGAATGTAGAAGACAAAGGAAATAGGATTGAAAGGCCTATAGAGAGTTGAGGAAAAGGAGTAAGCTGCAGAGTGATGACAAGTGCAGTACTTTGAAAAAGAGCAGTAAAAAAATAGGAATTGTTGTAGTGGCGCAAGACAGATGAGCAAAATTGTGCAACCCAGTGCAACCACACTATGCAGTCTGTGTAATTAGAGTCCAATATGTTAATTCCTACAATATGATAAGTGTTCTAAATTATGGCCTGGTAATTAAGAACCAACTACTGGGAGTATGGTTTGTTTTCAGTTGAGATACTAGACATTTTAATAAATAATTTATTCTTGCTAAATATTATGCTTTATGTATAAAACTGCTTTTTTCCATGACTGCAAAAATACATATTTCTTTAACCTTGCTTTCCCTAGCACATGGCTCTGTGTGTGGGCACCTGTATGGAAATGAATAAATTCCACGAATTCTGAAATACCTGAACATCCAAACACACTAACTTATTGTAGCAGTGGTTTTGTGTGTGCTTGGTGTAGTTTTCCACCACCTTGCATTCCTTTTCACTCCCACCTCTTTTCTGGCCATTTAACCATGTGCAGCTTCAAATATCACTCTTGACACCTCATAGGGCTTGCAGATTGTTTTTGATAAACTTACAGTTCTTCCTGTTGAAACACATAGTTGGCAGCTTTAAGAATGACTTGGAACATCACCACAAAAAGTTAACAGCTGCAGGCGGTCTGAGTTCCTTCCTGCTGCTTTTCCAGTGTTTTTCCACTGGAATTATCTCCTACCACCTGTATGTGTATTTGGACATCCAGACATTCTGTATACCTCTCACTGTAGGTTGTTCTTTCTACGTTATTTTGTCATGAGATGGGAGTTTCTCTCCTAGAAAGTGTTTCAGCCAGTCAGGGGCTTTCACTTGTCCATTGCAGTTGAGCACTTTGCAGTTGGATTGTGATTTCCTGCTTTAAATGTGTTCAGTCATTCAATCCTCTTCTTAAAATGATAGGGTAATTTTATTTTCATCTGCACATGTAACGGCCAGCAGTTCTTTAAAATAACTTGATACCTTGTTTTGTTACATAGCATTTTTTAGAATTTTGAAAATGTTTTTGTGTTCATACTGTAAGAAGTCACCAGCTATCTGAGATGGTTTTAAATCACAGTTGTATTAGATGGATAGGATCTGTCACTGTCCTGCCACAGGAGGTGAGAATCTGTTCAGCGAGGTATATTGTGCGTGTGCAATGCGATATATTTGTGGCATTTTTTTATCACTGCCAGTTGGTTATTCTCTATCTGTGTTAACCACATTCTTTTCACTGGCTGTGTTAACTTTGTTGTTGTTGTTGAACTCCCATAATCAACTTGCAAAAGATTGTCCTGTGGTCATATTTGCTATATAGGGTTTTATACAACATGGTCCTGGAGCACCACATTCCCATCTCCCTTTAGTGGAAAGAAAAGGCATTCACAGATAGGAAAGAAGACAGAATTTCACAGCCGTGCCCATAATTCATAGGCTGTCATTGCTCAAAGATACCAAAATAGTTTTTTCTAATAACGAGTTGTATGATAAACTTCCAGTTTGTTCTTGTAACAGAGTGGTATTATGTCTTCAATAGAATGTTTTTGTTAAACCTAATATGTCTTTTTCAGGAATCACAAGAGAACCAAAGTTCATTTCCAAGAGAAGGGTACCTTACCGTTATCCACAGATTTCAAAGTCCTTTGAATGGACAGCAGATTGTGATTTGAATGATCCGCTTGAAACCGAGGCTCTTAAGACTGCAGAGTTGCACACAGACCACAACAACAATGAGGTGAATCAGGAAAAAATTGAAACACCAGAAGGACCCAGACTCCCCCCAAAAGTTTGGTCACATTCAGTAGATTCTAGAGGTGAAACAGCTCTTGCCCTTGCAGAAAACAACATGAAGAGATCACCCTCTGCTGCTCTGCCAAATCAAAATGAAGCACTTGCATCTCCAAAAAAGGAATTAGAAAAAATGGGTGATGGGGTAAGGGAAAATAGATTTTTTTTTTTAATTGACCAGTATAAAAATTGACCAGTCTGATATTACTGATATCTGATGTCAGATATACATGATGTCTGTATAATACACATGTCTGATAATACACATACACCAGCCTCTGTTTTCTATCTCTCTTCTTAATTCTGTATTTTCATCTTCTACTATGTTGTAGCTTCTCTGTTGGGAGAACAGTATTTTTGAGACCAGATTTTGGTTCCACGCAGGTCAATAGGAATTGTGCCCTTCTTATGCCGTCCCTATTGATTTCAGTTAAACAAGGATTTAGCCAATAATATATAGACATTTGGGGGTTGTTTGCTATAATGAGAAAATGTACTTTGCATTCATTTAATTCATACAACCAAAAACCAAACCATTGGTTTGAAAGTGTGCATTGAAAGATACTTGATGTGCAAAACATTGTAGGAAAAGGAACAATCGGTGTTAATTTTTTTTTTTTTTAATGTTGTCAGCTTCACAGAGTCCTTCAGAGGAAAGCAGGCATGAATATTTCACGTTTAAATACTTTCCCCAGAAACTCTGAATATCAAAGCCAATTTGTTTGGAAGAGTCCTCATGAAAAATCACCAATACTTGCAGCTGAACAGGTAATTTTAAAGAATCCAAAAAGTGAATGATTACTTTCTTTTAGGTATCAGCAAAGTTGCTTGCTTTCCAAGATTTCCATTCTTCCTCCTTGGTGGTGTTGGGGGGAAAGTTTCCAAACTTGAATGCTGTTGCATGGTTGTTTTTTTTTTTTTTTTTTTTTTAGTTCCAATATACAAAAGTGCGGTATAGTTACACTTGTTTCCCTGTGATTCTTTATTGTAGTCAGGTCTAATTATTTGTTCTCATTCTCCCTGGTTGTATTCCATCCTTTCTAACAGGACCGTTTTCTTCTGTTTGCATTAGTTTACCTTAGGAGCTCTAAGATCCTACTCAGTCTTGCCCTTCATTTTTATAATTTTTATGTTATCCAATATATACCTAATCAACAGATGAATGTTCAGGTGTTCTGTATTGTAATAACGTGTCTTGCCACTGAAATCATTCCAGTTTCTCTATTTATTCTCATGGTCTTTCACGGGTTACCACAGTTTCTTAGTCTCCATCTCTGTGCACATAAGCTTCTGGCCCTGAAGTGCATCTTTGTAGTGTTTTTTCTTTCTTAAGAACTGCTTACATTTAAAAGTGGAATCTTCTGATTTTAAGACACTCTTGTGGCATTTTGAGGTATTTCATGAGTTGTTGAACTTTGTAGGATTGGAAATCAGACCACAAAGAGTAACTCTGTGAGACTGCTTTGTGTTTTCAATTCATTGTTACTGGGATCAGGACTTGGGGAGACTCAGTCCATCTTTTGGTCATTTTACAGTATAAAATAGTCACTTTAATGGCATTATTACAGATGGTGCTCTCTCTGGTTTTACCCACAGGTAGCAGATTTGTTCAGTAACAGCTTTCAGAGGCAATAAATGTTGGTAACTAGGATCAGTCAGTATGAAAACTTGCTGTCTTGTTCTTGTTGGGATGCCAGGCAGGTGGCCTTACTTTGAGATATCTGTTTCCCAGCAGTCCCTTATCCAAGGAAAACTCACTGAAATGCATGACAGTAGTATAGAAGCTGAAGGACCATTTGAGGAAGAGGCAGGTCCCAGAACATCGCTTTAGGAAAATTTCTTAGAGAATGCCATTTGATTCTATTAGAAATCAGTTTGATAGTTTCATTATTGATGCTTGTGAACATTGTGCTATTTCAGAAGAAAGACTGTGGAATCTAAAATAGCAAACTTTTTTTGCACAACTTATACAGAATAAGAAGCCATAAGAATAATTCTGTAGGCATTATAAATCCTTAGATAAATAGAACCTAGAGAAAATCTAAATATGTATAAATGTTTGCAGGTTCTAATATTAAAATTAGAGTTTCATGATAAAGATTAGACATGGTAACAAACTGATTTTCTTCTGGTTTGTATTGATATGATGGAGAATATACCTGAATAGTGAATAATGACAATACCTTTCCTTTGAAGAGATTCTGTGAAAATATCAAAGTTATTGAAGTTAGGTTATAAGTCAGACCTAAATTCTTACAGCAAAGCTTGGGAAAATGTATGCTTGTGACACATGGCGTGATCTTCTATTTCGGCTCCTCATGAGGAAATGACACCTGACCACGTATTAAGCAAATTCCCTACCTTGGCTTATAGTGCAGTATTGATTGGAAAATAGTGGACAGCTCAAATTACCAAGCCCTAAGCATCCAGTTCTAAACAACAGAACAGTTGCGTGTTACGTATGGGCTGGACAAGTACTGAGGACTCATAGCGAAGTTTTATGGCATATGTTTTAAAAACATGATCCTACATACAACTCAGAAGGTGAACTGTCTTCCCAAATAAAGAAAATTCACTCTGTTAGCGAACTTCAGTAAGAACAGCGTTTGACCACAGGTTTAACACTGTATTACTCTGTCACTTTTGAATGTATTTTTATCAGATTAAGTTTCTCTTCAGTTTGTCCTAGAAGTTAATTAGTCCACACATGCTGTATTTGTACACATGACCATCTCTCTGCTCATATGTGAATGTATTTGCATGAATTGGTTAACTGATTTTGAAAATTTAGCCTTAAGGTAAGCAAATCACACTCTTTTTGTTGTTGTTGTTCTTTACTTTCCCCAAAGGTTATTTGCAACACAAGTAAATCCATACCTCCATTTAAATCTCCTGCAATTACTTCTGAAACTGCATATGAGAGAAATTTCAAAGGGTCTCCTCCTGTTAAGGGTCCACAAGAGAGAGGTGGTTCAGAAGAGAAGGAATTTCCAGTTTGTGAACAAGTAAATATTTCCCTGAAAGAAAGGCATTAATATACTTCTATAATACTGATTGTTCTTTTCTCTAATGCGGGGGTGGGTTTATTTTGAAAATTTTTACTTAACATTTTAGAGCTGTTGCTAATGATGCTAGACTCAGGTAGTAGTGGTTTTGCTCTAAAAGACTGAAAATAACACTGTACAGCTCTGTTTGCTTTTAGGATTTTCTGTAGTGGGTTCTGTAGTTTCTGTAGTACATTTGGCCAGTTTACAATGACATTTTAAGTGTGTTTTTCCTGTCACCTTGATTTATGAGTTTTCGAGTAGGTTCTGGGTTTTTTTTGAATTGAAACTTTGTTTTTAGTCATTAGGATAGTTTCTGAAATCTGAATCTCTGATTTATAATCTCATTGGTACCAGTGTAGTCTCTTGGTATGCAGGAGGGCTGGATGGGAGGTCTGCAACTTTTTGAATCTCAAATTAGACATAATGTGAATTAGAAAAAAATATTTTGGTGTATGGAAGATGCCACAGTTGGAACTGATTTTCACCTAATAGTTGTAATTTGAAGAAACATGAAGGAAGGGTTACAGTTCATTTGCCTTTGCCTTAATAAGTTGAAAGGTAATTGATTGTATTTGTAATTGTATTTAGCACAGGGCTGTAACAGGACATGGTGTAGCCTATGTAGACTCTATTACTCATTTCAAAACATTAAAATGTCTTTTATCATAGTAATTCAGCTCTCTTGTGTTGCTGTTGGCTTGGACAAACTTAAGTGGCCTTTTAGGAAACGTGGCTATGGCCATTTTGCCAGATAAATTTAATGAAAAGGAAGTGTTTCAGACTGAGATGTTCTAAAAATAGGTGAGAGCAATTCAGACTGCATGACAGCTAACCTATTTTGCAAGGTTTGGACATATGAATGTCTATTTTTGTAGCAAGCTGCTGTGTTGTCTAAATTCCTGCAGGTTAGCTCTCTATCCTTTAGGTAGAAGGATAAAACAGAAAGCCGCTGACAGTCAACATGTTCACTAGGACCATTACTGAACAAAACGTACTCAATATCGAGTGCCTGTGGCTCAGTTTAAGCTGTGGGTACTTTTGACATTCTTAAAGATGATCGTTGGCTTGAAGGCTTTATCGTTTAAAACTCAGACCTGCCCAGTGCTTCAAATCTCATCTGGAAATGAAGAATTTTATGCCCCCTTTTGCCTGTTTTAGCATGTGTGAAGAAAGCTTGAAAGGCATGAGGCTTTCAGGAAGTATTTCTTTGTTTTTAGTATTGGAAATTTAGGTTATGGTTTCCCAGGAGAGCTAATAAAGTGAAGGAAGAGAAGGCATGAGAAGGGAATTTTAGTGAAAGTGTCTAAACCACTTTTTGTTTATATCGATATAATTTTAATTCATATCTTGAAAAAGTTTTGAGGGATTTTGGTGGGCTTTTTTTTTTGGCTTTCCTTTTTTTTTCTTGAATTTGAATAACATCTGTGAAGATCTCTAGCAGAATCAGAAATCATGCATGAGACTTCTGAGAGGATAAAATAAGCAGGAAAAAAAATACCTTTGATGTGAAAACTGAACAAGTCAATCTGACTCTTTATAAACCAGAATGGCAGCAACTTAAAAAATTGCCTTTTTGTTTGTTATAAATTGGTTTATATTGCTTGACTATAAAGCTAAGAGTTGAGGTTTTTTTATTTATTACAAATTCCAGAAATATACATGTTAAGTCTTACACAACTCAGGTTAGAATGCACAGGTATTGTGTTATTTTATTTCTGCGTTTCATGTTAAATTCATTTTTTAAAGCATTCAAAATGGATCATCTAACTAACTGAATGTTGTATTCAGAATCTTAGCTTTGGCATTTTTCTAGTTTGTTTTTGTATTAACAAAGGAATGTAATATTCTTGTTTGTATTAAATATGCAAAACAGCTAACGCTAAAATTAAATTAACTTTTTGCAAAAGCTTGATGTCAAAAGGAATATGAGGGTTTTCAGATTGTTAGCTAATGTGGTATTTTTAAAATTATCTTTGCCTTAGAGTAAGAGGGAAGAACCAGTTCAAAAGCGAGCAGAAGATGCAGCAAAACAAGGGAAATCAGAACAGAAACATCCTAAACAAAAAAATAAGCAACATGTCAGTCCAAAGCCCCTCTCTTTACATACAAGTCGTGGGTATGTATAAAGTAGGAAAACCTAGCCTAGTGAATAGGTGTACAGCAGCCTAATATTTAGAATGGTGGATGATGGACCTTTAACCATGCCATGTTACAGTTGCAGGGGCAAATGCCCCATTGCAGTGCTGGGATTGAGCCTCCTGTGGGTACATCTAAACCTGGTGTTAATTTCCATCTCCTTCTCTGGGCAGTGGAAGCTTTGTAAACACAGTTCAGCCTTCTGATGGAATAATAATAATAAATTAGACATGAATGAAATTAAATTGGTGCAGTGCTGCTACTAAACTTCAGGCGAGTGCTTTGGAAGTTGTAGTCGCCTCTCAAACTGCTCTCTTGTGCTTGCTCCATGCCTCAGAACTGTGATAATTGTACTTGATGTCTGCTTTTTCTAGTCCATACCACCTTTGTCCCAGAGTAGCAAAAGCAAACACATGAGGTAAAGGGAAATAAAGCTATCCCATCTAAGACAAGCATGGAGATAAAATGAAATTGTATATTACTGAGAGCTATCCAAATATCTTTTTCTTCTGCCACGTACCTACATTGCAGGAAATGAACTCATGTTTCTGTTTTCTACACATCTGAGATACGCGAAGAGAAATAAAAGCCCAGAATCGATGTAGGTTTTGAAATGCATAAATTAATCCATCTCTGCTGTCTTTGTGCTTAATGTATGTCCCAGTGATTGCTTTCGTTCATATGACTTTCGGGCAGTGTTAAGGCATTAGATTAAAGATGGGAGAGGACACTTAGCTGTTGGACATTGAGAGATAATTACAGAGTGATCACTCAAAATACTATGAAATAAAATTGCTTTATGAAAAAGTGAGTGGATATAGTATAGTTAAAACCTTTAACTCTTTGGTTTTCATAGCTCTCTGATGTAGTAGATTGTAGTCAATTTTGCAGTGAGTAGTGTGTAAAATTCTTGCTCATTTGCTATGACTTTTTACGTTTAAGGACAAATTTCTGCTTCTTATACCTTCAGTGTGGTAGCACAAGATAAGTTTCCAAAAACAGTCACTCAGCAAATAACTGTCAAAATGTACAAGTTCTCAATATGCAGACAGGACTGTCACTTTGTGTGCAACCTGCATTGCATGGTCTGCTTTTGCAGCAGAATGACTGGGATCAAGGCACAGCAGTGATGTGTTTTTTAAGCTAGTCTATTTATTTTGCAACCAAACCCGAAGGAATTCTATCAGTTTCAAAGAAAAGGATATATGGAAAGAAATCTTGAATAGAAAGGGATTTTTTGCCTTGGTATTTTTCTTTTTACAAGGTGCATTTTATTCTCCAGCTTCAGGCTTTTATGATCTATTTCTGAAGAAGGACTGAAAAAGAGGGCTTTTTTCACCCAGCACTGAATATATGAAAATCAAGTTATTAATGTTCTGAAGCAAGATTAAAACCAAAAACCTCTTTAAGATTTAAGCTGATAAATCCACAGTTCAGTGCTTAAGGACTTGAAGCATTGCTTATTGCCTGCTTTAGGTTAGATGATATTAATTTTTCTGTGTATGTATGTGTGTGGCAGAAGGGAAAATGAATCCATCTTTTTGAGTACTGAGGCCTTTTGAAGGTCAAAGCCAGTAAGACATAGTTAGATGAATTATACTGACCATTGTTCTGGTAGTTGGATGTTTCTAGCCCCAGTAGTTCATACCACCCGCATGCAGAGCGCCTTTAGGGGGGAGTTCATAGAAGGAAATGTCTCGGCCACATTAGTGCCAAACCAGGTATTTTTACTTAAATGCACCTTCATTGGTGACTTAAACCAAGCTGCTCCACTTTGCATTGAAGTAATTGAGGCTTATGTGTGTATTATGTTCTGCTGATTTGTCTGTGAGGGTAAAAGCTTCTGACAGAAGGGTTATGAGGAAAAACCAACAGGAGTAAGTACCTGAAGAGCCATCAGCTGCGAATGAGCTTTTTCACAGCTTTCCTAGTTGTGTTGGTATGAGCTGTGTTTCAAAGCATGCGTTTTTCACCTCTCAGCCTGGCATTTAAGTCCAAGTATGCTTGTGGTTGTTGATACAACTTTAAAAGTGCTCTTAAAGAGTATTCTGAATATCAAGCTTTACTTTTTTTTCTCTCCTTATTGTTGGTTTATTAGGAAGATGAATACTGAATATAGGTCAAAATTTTTGTCTCCAGCCCAGTATTTCTACAAAGATGGAGTTTGGTCTCGTATCAGGAGTAAAGTTCCCAACCAGGTGAGTATTCTTAAAGAATCTGAAGCCTGAGTATGCTTTGTATTTTGGTTTTTACATGCAAAACACTTTGACCTGTGGTGTCTATAAGATACAGTTTTGAGATTGTAATGCTAATGACTCAAGCTCCTAAAGGTGAGTATACAAAGAAGATTAGGTTCTGACAAGCCGTTATAGTATGTAGCAGGAAAAAAAAAAGAGACAGTGCGACTTAGAGAATATATTAATATGATGTGCAAAGTGAGGGAGGAGCTTTGTTTCCCTTACAAATCAGAATCATGCAGAACAGGGTCTCTTAGAGCAGATAATTGTAGCATTGATGTTCAGCCCTGTTGTAACAAGGGTAAGTTTTCAAAATGTAGAATTAGATGATAGGAGGTTCCAAGGGAATAAAAGGAGAAGGCCAACATACATATCAGCCTAGGTCAGCTTGATAGTCCAGATCAGTTTATTAGCTTGCCATGCTGAATCCATTCAAAGCAGTCAGCTGAATACACCACACAAAATCAAGAATTTCTCTTGCAAGTTTCAGCCAATCTAAGTATTGTCATGTAGTTTATTCAGTAATTACGATCAGTATTACACTGTATAGGAACTCATTTGACAGAACTCTGAAAATGCTGAACAGCTTCAGGACCATAGGATTTCTGAGCAGGATTACTGAGTATGGTTTCCTGAATTAGTCAAGTAAATCAAAACCATTAACAGTGTGCTAAGAAACTGCTAGAGCTAGTTCTGCAATGGTCACATTTCACTGAAGTGACTTACGCTTCTCTCAGCTGATAGAGGGAGCCTTCATGAAACACTGTGTGTTGCTAAATGTGTGGCAAATACTTGGAAATTTGAGTTTGCTCGTCAGTTGGGACTGAGCTGATGTGGAAGATAAACTGGAGTGGATGGCTCTAGGGTACTGGGCTTTGAGATTCTGGAAATAACATTCTCTGGGTATTGCAGGAGTAGTGTGGTAGCATTCAGTTTTATGTTTTCTCACTGGATTTGATCTAGCAAGTAGTTTTATTTCTCTTTTTAGGCCAAAAGGAATATATATTGAATATATATGAAGTAATGAGAACTAGGTCTCAAAGTTTAAAGTTTATCATAGTTTGATATAATTCATAATCAGATTTTGTGTATGCATGCATGAGATAACCCATTCTGTTAAAACAGCCTCATGAGGACGTTAGAGGACTAAAAACAAGCAATATTTTTATTTTTTATATGTATTGATATACGCATTAGACTTAGTCTTACCGTCACTAAGGCTGTAGAATAATTTAAACTATTGCATGCAGCCTGACTGTAAATGGTATACAGAACGTTTCTGTAGAATATTATGTCATTTTTCTAGTGTGTAAGGCTTTCATCTGGAGACTGGATGTTGCATCAGTAACATTCCAAACAGTCAGGAGCAGTGCTCAGCTTCAAGAGCAACTGACGGGTGGGCAAGCAAAGGGAAAGGGATGCATTGCCTTGGAGTAGATTGTGTTTGCGGCACAGCCAGCTGGAAGGAATCACTGTGGTAGGGTGAAGGGGAAGACTGAGGAGACTGCAAGTGGAGGATGGGTGTTCTGCTTTACCAGCCAGGATCTCTTTTGGGTTGTATTTGAAAGATGGAGGCAGTAAATATATGTGGCATTTAATTAGAGCGTATGAGAAACCAAGAAATTCCTGCACTGTAGATAGGTGTTTTGGGTGTGTCTGACTTTCCCATGAAGATTTTCTTACTGACAACAGAATTGCAGAGGAAACTAGAAAGAAGTCACCTGTGAGTAGGCATGAAGAATTCAAAAAAGAATTCTTAGGATTTTTAGGGCCTTCTAAATGAAGGGGTTGTGCTGAGTGGCTGTAAGAGCCACATTAATTTTAAGACTATAATAACAAGTGTTTTATTGATGACAAATGTCCTTAGATTACATACACATTTTTATGTATGTGTACCTACATTAGATCCCAGTAGCAGTTCATGTAGAAGAGACTTTTATAATTGGAATTACCTGAATTTCTCCTCTCTCTCAGACTTTGAATCACATGCCTGTGAGCATATGTCACGGTTTAAC